TTACATTAGTCGCTCAGATTGCCGGCATTCGCAAAATACAGGAACGCCGAACATTTCTCAATGTAGCAGAACTGATGTCACTAGATAAAGAGATCATTTCCTCCTGAGGACCCCAATCACACTTCATCTGACCGTCTGTGGTGGTTTTTCAGGAGCTTTTTATTTTTAAGACCTTTTTGTACGAGCTTTTTTTGTGTTTTTTGGGTATTGAGTTTTTTCTTTTTAATTTGTTGTTTTTATTAGCCAATGGAAGGCTCATTCGTAGCCAAGAAAGCGAACAAAATAAAAGCACGGTATGCATGTTCTTTAGGCGCTCCTATTGACGTTTATTGGGACTGAACTGCATGACTCTTCCCCCTAAAACAAGCTCAAGTACGTTTTCCGGTGACAAGTTGCAAGCGACGACTACGTTCAGGTGTGAAGGGCACCGTGGAATATAATTGAAATCCAATGCTGAGCGTTAAAGACCAGGACATTTTTAAAATAACCCTCACAGTGTGGCTATCTCCGTACTGCAAGGGTTAGGTGCTTGTTTGTGTCTAGATGCTAAAATAAAGATATACTCACCTGAAGCTCTGGATCCGGCCGGGTGTCACTGTGCTCCCTCAGCCTGTCCCCTCTGCAGCAGCAGCATTGGAATCTTCCTCAGCGTCCTCACCTCTATACACTGTGTATGATTCAAGGGACCTTAGACCCTTGCAGAAAAGAGGGAGAGATGTTGGGTCCTCCCATGACCCAAAGCTTAGTATATCGCGAGCTACAGCCGGGACGGATCCTGACATTACTGTCGAGATCCACCCAGCTGCGTGAGTGATAGTGGGCTCTGCCTATCTAGAGGCAGAGCCAGCTGTACCCGCCCCGTCCGTCCCTCCACGCAGCGCTGGAATATAGGGGAGGGTGGGAGTCCCTGCAGGGAGCCGTGAGTGGCAGTCACGGCTCTCTGCAGGGACATGATCGAGACGTCAGCGAGCGACGGTATGTGTTTGCTCACTTCCCGATCTATTGAGCCGACTTGTGACAGTTTCATTGCCACACGTCGGCTCCAACTAATGAGGACGAGTGATTTTTCACTCACCTCATAGTTCTCCTTTTTAAGCGTGAGGGTGTTCAGACGATTCTAAAACCCCTTTGTATGTTTTTCAGGCGTTTACATGCCTGAGTGTTTTGTTTTTGTTTTAGCCTAATGTTTGTTAGGTTTGAAAAGGCACATGACATGCTTTTTTTCAGCCGTTTCCAAGTCTTTGTGGGCAAAAAATACGTACTTCTGCCCAAAATAAAGGTCGTTTTCACTTGACGCCACACTTGGGTGGGAACGGTCACCATCGAAAATGATGCAACTCTACAAGTTGCTGCGTTTCAGGGAACCCGTAATAGAAAGCTCAGATGCGGTCCCAGCTCAGAGATTGTCCCAGGCAGATACTGATAGATGATTGAATTCAGATGACCCCTAAGGAAAAAAAAAACAAGTGTTGTTCAGTCTGGGGAGCTTGGAGGGCGCCCAGCTGGTACTCGCCTTTCCTTTTAACTGTTTGCAACAGTTTGGTTTAAAAATACATTTCTCACAGCAGTAGTGAAGTGTGTGGAGGGGGCAGAGTTTGCTGAAATTGTAATTCATGTCATTCTAACATAGAAATGTCATCTTTCTGAGGGACAAGAAACGAGTGTAACCTGCAGAAGTAAGTTCCCTGTGACAGTACTGTAATACATGAGAATAAAACTACCAGCTAGAAGGTCACACTGAGCTCAAAGCCATCTTGGATCTGAAATATGTGTATGGATCCAGACCTCTGGGACTATTTATGTGTAACCAAAAGTGATGTAGAGCACTTCCTGTTCATTCATAACTGGAGACACAGTAAGCTTACTAGGTCCTCAGTTATTTACAAACAGTCACAGGGGGATTTATCAAAACTGGAGCAGCCCAAATCTGGAGCACTGAAATCAATCAGCTTCTCTGTCTCATTTTCAAATCTTACCTGAGCAAACTGAAGAGAGAAGTGGATTGGTTGCCATGGGCAACTGCTCCAGATTCTGCCTGCTCCAGTTTTGATAAATTCCCGCCCTCAGTGATCAGTACTGATAGCTGAGTGTTTGTGCTCCACTCTCCATCCTGACTGCTCTGTCCCCTCCCGCCTGTCAGAGGAAGTCACGTGGGGTGGAGCAGAGCTCGGCCCCCTGTGACAGCTGGCTCCTCCCCGTACCATCCTGCTCGGCCTCCTGACAGCTTCTCTCCTTACCACTGGGCGCCGGCAACTGGATTGGCTCTGTGTCCCCTCCGATCCCCGCTGTATCTGTCAACACAGCGGGGGGGGCACAGAACGGCGTCCACCGGGAAGGAGAGAAGCTAGGGATGCACTGCATTTTCGGCCATTTTGGTACTATCAGCATTTTGCTCACAGTACCATTTTCAGCTGTAATTTCAGTGCATCCCAAATGTATATATTTGTGTGTGTGTATATATTATTGTATTATATAGGTGTGTATTTATATATAAGCAAGGGAATGAGACACTCGTGGACTTGCATAGAGGAAGATGAAACTCTAAGGTTTATATAAATATAAACCGACTTCTTCCTCTTGAGTGTCTCTTTTTTTGCTTGTGGTCTTTGTTGTGTGCGTGCACCCGGGCCCCTGCTCTCCAGTGTATATGGGGGCTGTCAGATCAGAGAAGTCCTTATCTGCAGACTTGTTCCAGGTCACTGACTTAATGTTTTGGAGTGTGGATGCAAGAAGGTCAATATGACAACCTGGAAATTAGGATTTGCAAAAGAGGAAATAGCAATAGCGGCTTCCAAATTTTTCTGATGAATGGGTTCCTTTAGGGCCCATTCACTCCTATGATTTTTTTTTTCTTTTTTTTTCCTGATGCATTTTTTGTTTAAATAAATGGAAAAACAGTGTCGCAGCGTTCTCTACATTTAAGTCAATGCACATCATAATATGCGTCTACATGAGTTTCCATTTTGAATTTAATGGAAAGTGAATTTCATACCATGTAGGCATGAATGGGCTGCAGTTTTGGTGAAGGTAAAGCTGGCCTGCGGCTTGGATGAGAAAAAAAAACCCACTCAATTCCCCTGTTGGACTATTTTGACTATTGGTGGGTCTGTCGCTGTCAGAATACCCAAAGAATGGCTACACTTATTGGCTGCAGTGCCTGTTCGGCTGAGAATTTTTGGTCGGGCTCCTTCAACAAAGGTCGATTGAAAAATGGACTTTTGTTGAATGGTGGGTACCGACAGGACCATACACTGCTTGAAATTTGGCGCTGTAGGCAGGACTCAGACGAAATTCGACCGTGTATGGCCAGCTTAATTGTGATGTGTAAGTTAGGCTTGTCTCTGTTTTATCCATTACTGGACCTGCTACTGCTAAATCTTACTTCCTTTTTTTTTGTACAGCAGATAGAAAGCAAGTGGCAACTGGTACATAAATGTAAATTGATTTCGAAGTGAATTGCAGATAAAGGTTGTTGTTGGTTTTGGCACCTTCTATTAAGTTTACTTTCACTACAAAAAAAACAAAGTAGCCACCCTCATGCTTTTGCAGTGATAGTCTTTACTACTGTTTGGTGTGAAGTAAAGTCGGGTATACACGGGTAGATTTTTGCACAAACGTTTTGTACGAAAAAATACCGTCTGAATGTTCAATACTGGCATCAGAAACTTGCCGATTGTCATTCAAAATGTATTTTAATATTCATTTTTATTTAACATTTGATATTGGAATTAATGGAGTTTCTGAATGAAAACCGCATTCAGTGTTAGAAATGGAAATCCGTTTGATGGAGAAAAAATGTCCAACATGCTCCTTCGAAAATTTTCGGGAACATTGTCGTTTTCGGCTGTCGATTGTGCCACACTTATTGATATTCGAAAGAACTTCCTGCTTGTGGGAGTTTGTGATCTTCCTTAAAAATATGAAAGCAGTGAAGATTAGAAATGTAATTAATTATGGCTTCTGGCACTGAAGACATTCAGTCAATCAGGTATATAGAGCAGGTGCCATCCTTATGCTTGTTCTTGATTTGCAGTTACAATGCAGACTGCAGAAAGGCTGAATATAAACAAAGCTGTGTTTATATTGCCATATGTTTGTTATCTCCGTTTTTAACCAAAGCAAAGGCAGGAAAGAAGTAAGGGATGTTATTTATTTAAACTATGGCTTGCTCAGAGGGCCGTGCAGGGTCTCAGGAGGGCTGTGTGGGTCTCGCCAGTGGTCCCGGTCAGTCTAGGCGGGAAGGAGGAGGAGATTTTCGTCTGACGCTGTAAACAGGTGCTGCGATTCACCGCAAAGCTGCCAGGACCTTGCTGGGGACCTCAGCAGTGAATTAGCGCCTATTTACAGCTTTGGCTTCCATTTAAAACTCCACGCTTAGTATCTGGGCATTTTCACTATTCCGAGTACTCGTGACAATGCCCAGTATCGGCACCGGTATCGGTGCATCCCTAGTTACAATACAGTTATCTTTTCATTTTGGAGATGATCCCTCAACTGATTTACCAGCTGTGTGTATTAATTTTATTTAAATGGATTTTTATTTTACTGGCAATACTTAGTGAAAATAATAAAATAATGCATGTAGGCTGTTTTATTTAATGTGGTAAAAAGTTTTCCATGCATCCACCAAAATTAGAGATCAGAAGAAGGTTGAGATGGCTTTAAAGAGACGCTGTCACCTGCCCAATCAGGCAAAGTGTCAGTGTCTCCAAAAAGCAAGGTGCGCTCACCTATCCATGCTTCATTGCTGCCTCCCTACACCAGCAATCCATTGTGGGTTAGGGCTGGTGTTGGAGGGTACCCGGGTGGATGGATTCATGCTACCGCCACACTGCAGTAATCCATTGTAGGGTAGGGCTAGGGCTGGTGTTGGAGGGTACCCGGGTGGATGG